CAATATGTATTCAAGGTTGAAACAATAAAAGGTATGAAAGGAGAGAGAGAGAGGACTAGAAAACTTAGTTTGGCAAGTAAATTGAGCAAGTTTTCAAGCAATACGAAAGCAGATTATAGTTCGTTCAGCAAAATGCAGATGTCAAAATCATTCATATCATTCCCTGGCAATTACAAATCCACTATAGGGAAAAAGCTACAAAACTTTGATTCATTGTCAAAGATAGCACACAGATCATGATGGGATTACTAAATGATCTACTGCTATTACAGCATTGCGACAAATATAAGACGAGTAGTAATATTGTTTTTCAATTTTGAAGAATAATTTGAATAGTTCAACTCGAAACATACAATGTATTCACTATGTTTTCTTCACCTGAGTTTGACAACAAACCATTTAAACTTAGGACTATTAAAATACTATAATACTGCTGACATAATATATGTACTGAATTGGACATAATGGAGTAAAGATTGAAATGCCTAATGATAGACACAAAAGTAAAAAGAGCATTTCTGACAAATGTTTTGTAACACTTTAAAATAAAAATACTAAAAATTACCTTTTTAACCCTCTAGTATATACAATGCTTGGTATGCAATTTTCTTTACCTAAAATTGGAAAATATCATCCTATGAATCAGAAAAGTATAATCGCAGCTTCAAAATTGCAGCTCTCTAAATCTTTCAGAAACATGATTTGAAGTTAGAAATAGAATTTGAGCCTTTTCATTGCCTAAAATATCTCAACCATTGATCAGATAATTTGGACAAACATGATTTTGAACAACTCTGTTTCCGCTTTTCCAAACCCGATAAAAAGAGTTAAGAGACATATATCTATTTACTAATAAAAATCTGATGGCTGAAAGGGGGTCACGATTATGGAGATCAAAAGAAATAAAATGGCAAAGTTCAATTAAAAAACGACTCTACAGGGATGTCCAAAACTAATCACATAAAAGAAAACAAAAACAAAGTCTAAGGGACCAGCCTATCACTTTGTTGATACAAATTGCAAACAAACAAACAAACAAACAAACAAACAAAAAGAACAGACAGGGCAAGCAGAGACTAGGCAGCAATAAGACCTTAATAATTATATACTCTACATTTTAGGAGTTGTCTGCTGTTATGCCTATTAAGCCCCGTTTATATGGAAAATCAGACATCTTTTGTCACAGATTCTGAATTATAATCTCAAACTCTATCTCTGTGAAGATACACAATTTCAAATGCCAGTAACACAAATTAAACCAAATCACAATTTTGAAAAATAACCTTTGTGCATTCTACAGGTATGTCAAAATAAAAATGAACAATGTCATCTTCAAATGATTCAATACAATACTGGTACATGCACATGTAGGAGCCTACATTGTATTTCACCCAGAGAAATTAATAAATTCTGCAGTTGGAAAGCAAACAAATGTACAGCTCAGTAACATGAATACAATCAATTGAAAGCAAGACAGAGCACTCAACACAAATGTCCTAAGTCAACTGGGTATCATATGGTTACAAAGTTATAAAATTCAATGAATTTTACAATTATGGCGCAGATCTAAGTAAAATCAAATCATAACGTTTGGTGGTTAATTGGTAGATAATACATACACATCATAGATTGGTCCTATTCAACTATGAATAATTGCTGTATAAAAGTAACAAAATTGTAGTACCACATAACATAACACATCTTCAAGGAATTGCTTGTATTAAAGCTACAAAATAAAACCACTCGTTTCTAGTACTGTAAAAAGCTGAGGGACCACAGAATTAATATCAGATCACAGCCATGAAATTCATTTGATAGAGGATGTCCAGTACTCCTTCGTCGTTACATTGATAAGTATAAAAGTTTGGCTCCCAAATTTAACCTTCTATACACATTGGTTGTCTTGTAAAATAACGGATGAAAATCAGAATGTTGCCATTTTAAGTTCATTCCCAATCAAAGTAATTATTTTGAAATAAACAAACCATTGGGCAGACACATTTCTTGCACTATATACAAATGGGAAATACTTTTGTTTCGGTAATTCATTGCGAACTAAAGACACTCGTATGAGTTTATCAAAAAATTAAAGGTGTTACTAATTACATCTGTCGCATGATTACAATATAGCCTCTACAAAGTGAACTTTTTTCTACATGCTCAATTTCCTGATTCATTTGAAAATTTCATGATTGCGTAGTTGAAAAACATATACCGCAGCAATGACACATCGTTTTCTTGAGCTCATCACCACACTATACAAAATGACTACGATCTGATTGGGGAAGAATTTGCAATACCATTTGATATGAAGCACTTGAAACAAATAAACTCTTCCTGATCAAGGTTCTAAGTATCAATATCAATACGAAAATCAAGAGTTTGGTCATTGAAAGCCTTCTGGTCGATTAGGAAGCCAAATCGGCGGCTTCATAAGAAACTGGTTTGGCATCACTAGATTAAGAGCGAATTACAGCTGTTGGCCTACAAGAAGGCCTGCAATACACTGCTTTTTTATTATTTTAAAAGATTTGTTTGACTATCAAGAACTTCAGTCATTCATATTTTGCATGTTTGATTGCTAAATTAATCCAAACTAACAATAATAATAATAATCTTTTTTAGTCCACTCCAAACTTTATTAAACCGAAACAAAAATTCTTTTTGCCCAATTGATCGTGAGCCCCGCAGCCACTGAGCAGCGCCAGATCGACGTTGCTCTGTCCCTTATTGTTGAACGCCAAACAAGGTAGCAGCAACTTCCATCTTTTAACGTCTTTTGGTATGACGCGGCCGGGGATCGAACCCACAACCTCCCGTATGCCAGCTGGATTGTATAGTGAGCAATGATCAATACATGTATACTGTTGTTTGATTTCTTTTTGACCACTCTTTCTACCCTTTCTCAATTGATTCATAAAACGTAGTAGATAAAATACTGAAAAAGCATGCTCAAAAGATATGTCATAAAGTTGTCTCAAAGATAGTTAAAACCTGCTAGCATATCACATGCAGCCGCTTTCTTCTGTAATCCGGAATATACTACTGTTAAATTTTCTGTAAAAACATGTACTGTAGCTGTTTTGAAGGGTTCAAAGACATCTTTCATTCTGGTATGCAGTGCAAAGCTGAGGAATATATTTTTGTAGCACCTTTTCGGATATTCTTCACCTAAAAATCATAATTGCATTCTAATAATACTTGTATCAAAACACCTCTCGGCGAATGTGGGAAAAGGAATGGTTTCAAGTAAAAGCAAATAATTTACATCAATATACTACAATGCAAAAGAAATATAATTTGTAAAAACAAAATTCTAAGAATATGAATACAGGAAGAAATACAAATAAAAATAAGTCCAATATCAAGGCATGTCAAACACAGATGGGATACAAGAGCACAGATGAATAATCTAGAACAAATTTAAGTGTTTTTTAAAAATTTAGTCTCCTTTACATATCACATCTTCAGTGATAAATTGAAATTTTCCAAATTAAGGTAAATTAAGAAGATCATTTTTACTAAATACACCAACATATTTAAAGGGCTTTCTCTCCAATTTGCTGTTTGAAATACATGAAATAAACCAATACTAACATGCATGGGAAAGGGGGTATGTTTTTCCTTGTGGCTATTTAACCAAACTAAGAACATCATGTACTAGACATGGCCATTGTGACCAACTCTATGCATAACATACTGATAAAAAGTACTTATAAGAGGGCCTGTTCATTAGAATCAGGGACAAATTTGGCCCCAAGTTTTAAAGGCCCACTGCACTACTGGTAGCTACTTGCGCCATCTATATAACAAACAATGCCTAATCGGTGACCATTGGTCCCCCATGATCCTCTTTTTCTTATGTTAACTGAGAGCTGAGTTGATGAGATAACCACCTGTCCAGTGACCTTGCAGAGCGGTCTAATCCCTCCTGTAAACTATGGCAGATAAGCTTTAAGTATTTTTTTCACTGTTACATTTTTAAATATCTCATTAGTGAGAATAATCTTGTTGAAAATTACTGATTTTGATATAAGTCAGATATATTACAAATTTGATCCCACTGATGACAAAACAAATTTCTCTTTTCTGTAAGCTCTGTTATAAAAATACCCATTCAAAACTAAATAAGTAATAATGGAAGAAATAGAGAAATAGAAAAGAAATGTCTGCACCTTATACATTTAAAAAATATAAGGATAAAAATGAATGAAGAAGGGGGGAATAATCAACACTTACACTGCTCTGTACGAAAATCTTACAATATTTTATGAATACTGGCATATTACTAACTCACATTTGACTTGTTATAAATATTCACGAGACATCTTGTTTTCTTTCTAATTATTTACAAAGCAATTAACCACATAATTACTTGATAGGCAAAAGTGGAAACCATTTCAAAATGGTGAAAAGGGGGGTAATATGGACTGGAGAAAAAGCCTAGGAAAGGAAGGTATTACAAGAGTAAAAGGAGGAAGGGGAGAGAGAAGGAAAAAACAGAGTCGGAAATAAAATATTACATATTATACAACACCTACATGGATCCTTGTCATTTGATTGGAGGATATAAAACAAATAATGAATGTTTTTCATTCGTTTAATAGTGCAAATATTTTCTTTTGTTGAAAGATTAACGTTAATTCTATTCAACTCGGCTGACGCCTCGTAGAACAGAATGTTAATCTTTCGACTCATGAAAATATTCGCACTATTGAACTCCTAACCATTCATTATTTGTATACTATGGAATCAGATACACAAAGTACACACAAAATTCAAAGAGAAAGATTGTGACTCCAATAGTACGCCCTTTTCCATAGTTGAGGATGAGTTAAATATAATTTTAAACATATGGAGAAACTTACAAGTACAAACAATATCTGAGTGATATTAATCACTGTATTTCAGTTCCAAAGGTTTGCATTTCTACAACACAGAATAATCATAAATGGCAAACATTTCTTCCTTTTACACCGATTGTCAGCCTAACTTATATATTTCTTTCATGAGATCCATCCAGCAAGATGTAAACCCTTTAATGTAGTCCCAGGCTATGCCTTTCAATGTAGTTTTTTTGTTATATGTAGTGTTTAGCTTCATACATGTAGTATATATAGCAGTTTACGAAACACAGCACTAAAACATGTACTTACTTGGATAATATGTTTGCTTTCCTTCTATTCATTTCTGTGTGGGCAAACGGAAGAGACGGATACCTTATAAAGAATGACCTTTTAAAATCCCAGGAGCTTTTCCCAAATTGGTCCAAGACTTACTTCACTCTCCCAAATTCAATTCAGATATGGAGTTTATATATTAAAGTTAAAGACTTAATAGTTCAACACCTCCTTCGAGAACAAAACTTGGCTGGATAATGCCCATTGCACAAACAAATTACAGACAGATTAGAAAATCTTTTTCTAGGGGGTAAAGCGAATAAACATAACATACAAAACTCTATCATCAGTATTTTCTTCTTTTTTAAATACAATAAATAAGTCGGTAATATGGTACATTTACAATTTTTCTCTCAAAGCACCACAGCCATACAGGTATTGAAGCAAACATTGCTCATCTAGACCTTTCCAAACCAGTGGAAATGCAAAAAACAAAGCATAAAAACAATAGACACCATATAGTTGAATAAAAAGTCACAAAGTTTCACGAACATTCCATGAAACATTGGTCCAGAGGTGGATCTTCCTATCTACAAAAAAACAAAGGAAACATTGACCCAACATTTGATTAACAGTCTCTGTCATACAAGCAGCATATTGTAACAATCTTAAAAACATTCAGAAACTTTCTTGAAATTTCTTTGTTGTTCACGATTCCTATCCGTCATCAAGTTTTCCATCTGAACAATATGGTGATACAAACATGAAAATTTGTATCTTCAAATTTGGTCCTTCTCGAACGAATAGAAATTATTTGGTGCATGATGCATGCACACACCTTAGGGACATTAATTCAAAAGGAGGGCTCCAATTTTTTTTTTAATGTGACAAATTGTTTAAATTTGATTGAGAAATTCACATTATTCAACCTGTGTAATCAGTACAATACTTGTCACAATAGTCATGACAGTAATTATTACATTTCTTAATTTATATTAATCTACTACAACAAAAACAGTAGCAATGGTTAACTGTGTATCATGTGTATCATGTGGATACTAATAAGATATGAATTTATGCAAACAAGATCTTATCTATTTCTCAAAGAAGACCATTGGGAATGAGGAAAGGGTTCCAAAATACCTGCTTAAATTATTTGGAATACCGAGCTCTAGAAAAAAAGTTTGATTTAAGACTGGGGTCCGCTCTTGATCCACAATTGAGAAAGGACAGAGAAAATGGGGAAAGAAAATCATTAGATTCATTTGATAGGAATATTCTTCCATTTGCAGTCGATTCATCCAAGCTCCCAACAGCCAGCAATCATCCTGGTCACAAGTTCATATATGAGCACAGCTCACTCTTCAGTGTTTAAGCATCTCTTTGGTCACATTCAATCCAGCTATATGACCCCTCACTATACTTCAATTCGTTGGGTTCATCATGGTCCCATTCATACATTTCTGTGTCCTGTCCACCCGCTTTCAATCTCAAATATCTCACAGAGTCTCGTGAATACTAGGAAATGTCCTTCATATCTTCCCTGCAGTGAACCTCAATCTCCACCTAGCTTTTAGAGCCAATTTCCATTTTGATTTCTCAGAGAGCAACGCACATTAGACATGCTCTGGGCTCTCCACGACAACAGTTGATCTCTCCATGATCTCCTCTGAGTTATTATTCATGGTAGTATCAGCAGCTTTCAGTTTCTTTATCGTGTTCTTTAGCGCTTGCCGCTTGTTGCAGAACCAGACGCGGATCACCTCCCTGTCGTAATTCAGCTCCTGCGCGAGCGCCGTCATCTCGGCGCCGGTCGGGTGCGTGTTCTTCTCAAAGTGCCGACTGAGGTATTCCAGAGCCTGAGGCGTGAACGAGGTCCGTCGCTTGCGCTTTTTGACCGGTTCGCTGCCGATGAAGTCGGTGAGTTGATTGAGACCGTTTTTGTGTCTCTCCTCGGCTTCAGCCATCCACCTCTCTAAGACAGGCTTTATCTTCTGTGCACTCTTTGGTGTGATGTCAAGCTTCTCAAATCTATGGAAAGAGATGGGAGACAGAAGGAAATAAATCAACCAGCTTCAAAATAATACCAGTATTTTTATTTTTTCAAATATTTTGTTTATCAAATTTATTCTGATATATTTCAATTCACCTGAGCTGAATATGCTATGTGTATAGTGGTCAATACTTTTTTATTTATAAAATGCATTAAGGCAGCTAAATTTAAGGAAACCAAACAAGCCGTAACCAAATGAAAATCAATAAAATGTGTGATTATTATTTTTTCATCACCAAAATGTATCCATATTTTGTATCCTATTTAATATGTTCTTTCAAAACTTTGTCTGAGAATTTATTTTACATGTGAGCTAAACAAATTCCCATGTTGAACTTACAATGGACAAATAAAATACATTGAATTGAATTGAATATATCTGACCTGCAAATGGCTGATTGACTGTACGCTGGTCCTTCTGACTGGCTAAGGGCTTGACCAACCTGTGTTTGGGTCAGACCAAGAGACAGTCTTCGGATCTTGAAAGCTTTGGCAAACTCCTTGATCTCTTCCAAGTTGATTCCGTCCACCTCTGCAGCATTACCCATGTTACTCACTGAAGGGAGAGAGGGAGAGAGAGAGAGAGAGAGAGAGAGAGAGAGAGAGGGAGGGGGAGAGAGAGAGAGAGAGAGAGGGGGAAAGAGAAGGGTAGAGAGAGAGAGAGGGGGAGAGAGAGAGACAAAGAGAGAGAGAGAAAGAGAGAGGGAGGGAGAGAGAGAGAGAGAGATGAGAGAGAGAGATGAGAAAGAGAGACAAAGAGAGAGAGAGATGAGAAAGAGAGAGAGAGATAGAGAGAGAGAGAGAGAGAGAGAGAGATGAGTAAGAGACTCAGAAACTATCCCCTTTAAAAGTTATGTAATATGACTGTAAGATGACTCCTAAAATTGTACTACATTTCCAAAAGTAATACTAAATGAGAAATAATTCATCAATAAGTGTGCAGATGCCCTTTCTATGTATGAAATGTTGAAATGAGCTACATTAAAATGTTATACTACCATATACATCAAACGGGTTTTCATTCAGGGCAGTTTACTACACAGTAACATTTCAGTGGTTTGGCTCAATATTAATTTAATTCAGAGCTTTGAAAATGTACACCAGCTACATGAGCATAAAGAGCAAAGAAATCAGCACACATGGTGCCCATTTTTGCTCCATCATCAAACGACATACAGTATTATCACAGAATTTTTCAAAGGAAAAGAAGCATTAAACCCTTAAATTGGCAACATTCTGAAAAATTAAAAAACAACACAATTTACAATTATAGTCACATAAAAACACCATACTTTAATAACACTCTAGATTTATATTTTTTTCCTCCAAACATCCCACTCCTGACACCAAGTTTAAGTGTCTGTCCTTTAATATATGTAGCCCTGTAGAATCGTAATATGGGGTTATACTACACATGCTCTGAGGACAGTTCATCTATAGATGAAATATTGCACTAATTGAATTTCTGCCTTCACCCCTGGAATACTATACCTAATACCCTAACCCAAACCCTGACCTAACATCCAACATCAATCCTAACCCTAAACCCACATCTTCGATGAAATAAGAGCAAGAGCAATTATTGTCACCGATTCAAGTGTCAAATATCCTTGATAATAGAGGCTGAGATCTAGGAGTTTGAAGCTCTTTGCTATTAAAGATTGACATAAAACTATGCCTGTGGAGAGCAAACCTTTATTGCATCTCCATGTTGAGTATTGGCTCTTCAAGGTTTTATCATCACAAAGACATTACATACAGTCGTCACATCATACTTCACTACAGCAATATCATCATACAGGCAAACAAATACTGACAAATTGTCAACCTTTACAGTGCTACCAAGAAAGTTTTAAAGATTTTTCATTCAAAATTTTCATTAGACAATTTTTTAATCATAGTTCCTGTATTTACTTTGCACCATAATACAATAGTTCTTTATGGTTGAAAAGTGTATGATTCATCAGTTCATTTAAAATTTGTGAAAGATTTAATTGTCAAAGAGAAATAGATGTGTAAACAATGGTGATTTAAACCACTTACAGCACTGTAGCCTAAAGGTTGAACATACTAAACATAAATGTACATTATCGCAACTCACAAACATTGAACAAGGCTCCGTGAGTCAACATGCATTGTTAACAGTGGGGTATTTGGGGTAGGGCTTCATTGTGGTTTTTGCTCGTATACGACGGCTTGCTCAACTAATGCTGGATTCGGATTAGTAAGAAATCTGTTAGCGTGAAATTGCAGCAACTATCAATAAAGCTTCAAATTCCCTAACGATACAGATGAAAGCAAAAGTATGTAGTAAAAGTGAAAGGTGGTGAATCAGGTTTATTTTGAGTCCTAATTGTGCTCACTATTTAGGAGTGTACTTGGTGGTGAATATATATCATGAACAGAAGGATTTGCTCTGTTCGAGTAATATATTCAGCTGGTTGAAAATAAATTTAAAAGAAAACTAATGTAATTAAAGACAGATAACAGCTAGGTCCAGCATTAGTGTGGCAAGCCATGCAGGGGAAATTCTTGTTAGAAGAGAACTGGAGTTTAGCTTTTCACTTCAAAATCGGATAACATCACACATTTGCAGATTCTTGCTCAAAATGGATGTGTCCAAATGCTTTCATTTTTTCATCCAAGGTGTTGATTTTCAAGAAAATTTTGGTTAGAGGCAGAGACCAACATGAAGGTGCGTACATAAGATTTGGAAGGGTGTGTTAAATCACAGCAAACATATCAAAAGACTTGCTACTAATTTTTTCAAAAGTGCTAGAAAATAATAATTTAAAAAAAAAGTTGTAAGTAAAGAATTTAAACACATTTGGTATCTTTCGTCAATTTGTGTAAATAAAGAGTTTAAAATGTGATAATTAAGTTTCTTTTGTCTCTTGTTTTTGTGAGTGTTCTGTGAATTTTTGATGATGAAGCCCCATCCCAATACGGAGCCTCCTTCAAGACAGTACCTCTACCTGGACTCGCCAATCCTCCCGTCACGTGGTTCCCACCACCGCTCGTCGCCGTCGTCGTGGAGACCACCACCTGATGACCTCCAGGGACCTGAGTGACCCCGCCGACCTGGCTTGCTTGACTGGAGGCAATGGAGCTCCGGACCAGCTGACTAGGAAGGATCTGTGCGACACTGCTCTGGGAGCCCTGGGCTGCAGCTATATGGGAGATGACGGTGCCTTGCGCTGTGTTTAGACCTACACAATCAAGAAAGTCAAGACCTTCAGTATGAAGAAAGTCAACGTTTGATAAAAGTGTTTGACATTTGATTAAAATGTTGATGATTTATTACTTCACAGAGTTACAATTATATACCAACCCTCACTTTACTGTGCTATGAAGTATCACACTTAAATATTTCATGACATACATATCAATTATAGTCCTTTTACTTTGCTGATAGATTTACAAGAAGCATTCAATAGTACCAGACTTTCTAATTCATGAACTTCTTGGGATTTGGACGAAAGAAGGGATGTTCTTGCCTACTTTCTTCTTGTATTTCTCTCTAAACTTGTTGGCGCTCTCTCTCTCTCTCTCTTTCACTCACTCACTTACTAACTCTCACTCCTTTCCTACTCTTGCTTCTTCTCTCTCTCTCTCTCTCTATCTCTTTCCTGTTTTGCCTTACCCGTCCCCCTCTCTCTCTACCTCCCCCAATTTTTATTATCTCGTTATCCCCATCTCTCTTAAAATCCCTCTCTCTCTCTCTCTCTCTGTCTCTCCTTCTCTCCTTCTCTCTCTCTCTCTCTCGCTCTCTCACTCTTCAATTTCCTTACCTGCTAGTCCGTGAAGAGATAATGCTTGTGCGGTGGCACTTGAAGCATTGCTGAGTTTATGTGATGCGAAGAGGGAAGCGGTGGGGTTAGAGGTGGTAGATGGATGAGAAATATGCACAGATCTAACAAGAAAAAATGAGCATAGTCTTTGTTAGATGCAAGATACAGTCAAGCCTGCTTAGACAACCACCTACAGGTTTTTGAAAAAGACAAACTTCTCTATAAACACCACAATCTTTTTCTCGAATGGATTTGTTTCTCTCTGAAACCTGCACAATGTTAAAGTGTACAAAAAGACTACCTGCTTCTCCTGTCTCCCATAAGTGGTCTTTATACACATGTTATAGTACAAGACCTCTAACTAAACCACCACCATATGGGTCCATTTCCCCCAGTTTTATAAAGAAGTCTCTCTTTGGTTAAAATTACATATTGAATCAAAATGTCAAGACTGTTGCTAAATGTGTTTCTTACCTGAGGCCATACGATGATGTATGAATACTATATATCAATTTTCATCCTTTCGTAGTAAATTTACACATCACCTTAAACTCCTGTCATATAAAGAAACATGATATGAATGAACAAAAAGAAAACAAAACTCTGATTTCTGTCGAAGGTGATTCCACCAATAGTTGAACATTAATTAGAATTTATCTTACTGTGTTGTGCCAAGCGCTGATAGGCTGAGATGATTGGCTGAGGTACGCATCAGACCTTGCGTTACTGTGGCAAGCGAGGGCAGTGCTTGACTATTCTGCGTTGTTACTAAACTAGGAACAGATGTTGTACTGACTGTATGGTTAATAAAAGATTATAGAAACAAAAAATGTATATTTTTATTAAGGTTTCCTGGATTCTTGTAAGATTGCAATATATTACAGGACCACAGACTACACGAACAAGAAAGTTCCAGTTTAGAGTTACTACGTTACTCTAAAAAATGGACTGTAATGTTGCAGTGTTAGGTAAGCATTTGACAAGCTTCACACTCATCAGCACCAACCCTCCTTCAATCCCTCCATAAATCTTAAGATTTAAACTGCAACTTGGTAACTACTTAATTGGGTCACTAAATTTATCATCACTATATCACTTCTTTTTATTTTCATATTTATACAATATAAACTGTACTTGTATCAATTGTTATTTCTATCACCAACATCATTATCAAAGTTTACTGTCATTGTCAATATCAATATCATTATGATTCTCATTATAATTACAAGGATCATCATATCGTTTTCATCATCATCATTGTTTTTATAATTCAGGAGAAGGGGTGCATTCTGCCAGAAGGAAGAGTCACTCACTTGTTTTGGGGTGTGCATGTGATATAGAACTACTGGGTGCAGACACAGACAGCACCTGCCCCCCTGCTCCCATCAAGACCTGTGGTAAAGGGAGCGTACCTAACCCCGTCTGACCGGTGAGGACCGAGACGGGAGGAAGGGGCGTGGTAGCTGAGGTCATCTGACTGGTTTTGGCATAGTGTGCCGCCGACGAGACGACATTGGTGCTGCTTGTTATGCTGGGAATTGCAGCAAGAGTTGACGGTAAAACCTGGAAGAAGACAAAAAAGCAATACAATCAAAGGAATAGCTTCAAAAGTACAGCTCTGTCAGCTGCTCAACCATCCTGGAAGCACAGGAATCAGAATGGTATGGATATTTGACAACGCATTTACCAGATAAGCTTTTGAGATCATATATACACTCTGTTGCCAATTGCCAGTATGTCATCATCATCATCATAATCATCATCTTCATCTTGGTCATCTCCATCATTATCATTGTTGTTGTTGTCATCATTGTCATTGTCATCATCATCATCATCATCATCATCATCATCATCATCATCATCATCATCATCACAACAACAAAATCTTATTAACGTATTGCCCTACCTAATGTAAAATGTTGTACATATAACCTCAAAAGTATTTTTGTGGCAAACATTATGCTTCAGTTGTCTTTTACATTTGGATGAATAAATAAGCATTTATAAGCATGAAACAATTTTAAAGCTCAAGCGATCCCAGCAGCATATCTGATCGCATGCTTAAATCTTATCATCAAATTTCATTGAGATATCATAATGCCATTACTTGTGAGGGCATGGCTCCAAGGTTGGCAAGGTTGGGCGAGGCCAGGAACTGTCCACCGGTCCCAGTCGGGATCAGGAACTGGATCCCTCCAGCCCCCTGGGCTAACGTGACAGGAATGGTGAGGATTTGCTGCTGACCAGCAGCGTTGGTGATGGGAAGGGTCAAGATCTGCTGCTGACCACCGTTAGAGGGGATGGTCAACAACTGCTGGGCTCCAGATAGCTGAAGGAGGAACAGACAGAGAGAAACTTTAGAACATTTTCCTGATGTTAAAATAGATATATGTAGGAAGGTCGGGTTGTATAATCCAGTGCTCCGACTTATGCTCTGGCAATTGCTCCAGGCTGTATTCAATCAAACATACACGGTTAGTTTGTTTTCAAGTTTCATACATGCTTCTTCAACACATGTTGCTTGCTCTAGACAAACAAATGGTATGCAAAAAGATACCTGACATACCCACACACAATGAATGCGAGGTGGTTTCTATTCACTGAAGAAAATAGACATAATTTGTATTCAGATCCATGGATGTTTACCTCTGGGTAATACAGGCTATTCACTTCACCTGTCAATAGCCTGGTGTACTATCATGTCCAAATCTTGTGCCTATTTTTTAAACAAAGGTTGTTCTTGACAACCTTAAAGCTTGCCCGACAATGTATCAAGTAATGTATGCAGAATGAATTCCAAGTATTGTAGTTCATTTAATTATAATAGGTGAATGGAATAACTTGTCACATGCAGGTCCCCAGGAAAGAAACATCCATACATTTTAATATGTAATAGACTATAGTAAACCAGTCAATTGTAATACCATCTCTCTATTTTTCAAAATCCTACTGCATTCATTAGTTGTTGCTCTGTCTGTCAAACGTTAGGTTTGGACCGTGGTCTAAACATTGATGTTTGAACTTGGCAAAAAAACATCGCTAAAGGAGCATCGGCCGAACATTGAGAAATTTTACACAAATTCAGACAAACCAAAAAAACTTCACTAACCTCACTAAAAATATTTTTTGTTTTGTTCAAACGTATATAAAATTGAGGGTTTGGACCTTATGGTGTATGTGTGAACAGACCAATGGTCAAGAGCAACTCTTGAAATGAAATTAAGAGAAAAAAGTGATCAAATGGAGGGGGAGGATGTGGAAGGATGCTTTTTTTTCAATATTTTCTTGCCCCTCTTTTCCTTCCTCTCTCTATTGTCTCTCTCCTCTTTAATATTTCCCTACCATTTGACTGTTGGGGGGGGGGGGTGGGCACTTGTTTCCAATGCCCACTCTGAAGCTATGCTATTGTATCTCCTTCTTTACACTTGAATATAACAAGAGATATGTTAATGAATATCATGATTGTTTGTTCCTTTTTAGCGTTCGCTATGGGGGATACATTACCTCCTTATAATGATAATAATAGAAACGGTGCTTATAACGCGCTTACCCCTGAAGTCTCTAATAGCACTATAACAAACAAAATACGATAATCAATTCGTCCTTGTTTTCACAAAGTGACGGTAGTGAGGAAAATCGTCACGCAAAGTGAATACAAATTTTTTCACTACCGTCACTTCGTGAAAACAGCGACGAATTACATATTAAACAAAACAAAAAATTACCAATCAACCTACAAATTACAACACAATATGAACTATACATCAATGTGAACAGAGTAAGTTAATCAACACTGCATCTAGGTCAAGAGATATAACCATCTCTTTGATGATCACTTGTTATATGTCTAACCTGATTGGCAAGAATAGGCTGTGCCCCCTGGAGAGCAGGGCTCATTAGAAGCTGGGGTTGATGCTGGGCTTGGCTCCCTAGGGGCAAGGAGCTCACGGCTTGGCTACTCGCTTGAGATCCACCTGGTCAGTCGGTCAAGAAAAAAGATCAAAGAAGACATTTGTGATTAAAAGTTATGACAATATCTTGTTAATGAGACTTATAAGTTATAACATTGTACTGCCTATTCAGTTAGACACTTCCATGCTAATGATCCATTACACTTCTCAATGTATATATATTGTATGTGATTTTTTTTAATGAAATAATAAAGTAAATTGAAATTGAATTGAATGTCAGACATCTTTGTGCACAGTGAGTTATTTAAGTCTTTAATTAGTGACAAACATGTTACAAAAGTGAAATGAACATTTGATTAGTCAAAACCAAACAAAAGCAAACCCAAACAAACATTGAAAGAGAAATTGAAAGAGAAATTGAAAGAGATGCGGCTAAAAGAGTAATATTATCTAAACAATATTTCTAGTGCATACAGTTAAAGCCCCTCTATTGTTCAGAGCCCCAACAATAGTAGCATAATGTGAAAGAGGATTTCTTTTAAGACACATTTCTGCAAGGATTTTACAGAACAAATGTGTTTGAAGTCTAATATCGATGAAAGAATAAAAAAATTAGGTTTTCAGCGTACAACAGAAAACTCAAATTATTTATTCTTTCATCAATATTTGTCTTCAAACACATTTTTTTTTTTTTTTTTTTTTTTTGTTGCTGTTGTTGTTTTTTTTTTTTTTTTTTGGGGGGGGGGGGGGGGGGGGGAGAAGTGTGTGTTTAAGTAAAATGTTGCCCTCCAACTTTTGGCAAATGTGGGGCTCCCAACACTTTAGAGGGACTTTATCAACTAAATTTTTCAACTAAAATTTACCGTTCCTAAGAATGTGACATATTGAAGCTTACATCTAAAAGTATTTAATAGAGGCATAATTCAACTAGTCCACCTTTCATTCTTGAGTTATGAATAACACAAAAAACATCAAATTTACAGGATTATAAATAATTTACTTGTTTACTGTACGTGTAGTCTGCTGAGAGCCAAAAGAACTTTAACTTATATCATTTGACAAAGAGTTAAATACCCTTTTAGCTGTTGACAATTCAATTCAATGTATTTATTTGTCCAACATCATTCAACATGGATACTTGGTTTGCTCACATGTAAAATAAAGGCTCAGACAAAGTTCATATAGAACAGAAATATATGATACAAGACATGGATACATTTTGGTGATGACAAAAATAAAAGTGCCATACTTAATAATGATTCTTGTTTAGTTACGGCCTCTTTAGTTTCCTTGAATTACATAATTATTTACCACTATACAGATAGAAAATTAAGCTTTCAAACTGAATTGAAGTACATGTATATTGGAATAAATCTGATAAATTGAAAATACAGTGTATAAATAATTATATAATATTGGATGGCTTTGCGTGTAATACAAAAATATATTGCTTGAGATATGACAATATTGAACGAGTCGGAGACGAGTCCAATATTGTTTAGCGAGAGCAATATATTCTTGTATCACACGGAAACAAAGCCATACAATATTATCATTATTATCTACATCAGGCTGACAAGCGAAATAGCAAAGTTTGATTTACCTCAGTAAATATGACTTTTTGTGTGTGTGATATCGACATCGATAGTTGAAGTTCCCGGATGACTGAGCAATACGAAAACAATATAGGTCAGTCATCCGGGTACTGCACTAAAGATATTGAATACACTGATTTATTGTACCACTTGAAAGCCTTATATATATATATAGATAATGATTTATATGGGTCAGTGATATTTGACTAATTTCCATACAAAACAAAATATTAAAGAAAAAAAAAGCAGAAATGCTGGTACCCAAACGCATTATATAAATATATAAATGATAATAAAGGCCTATCCAAGGTCATTTTTCTCACGCAGTATAAAGAAATTATTTATATTATGTATAGATATGTACAGGGTGGTATATAGTTGAACTTAAAGGATTGACCTACAAAAGCATTGGTCAGACCAAATATCAATGGAAGGATGGCACTTTCAGTGAAAAAGGGCAATGACCTTTATAGACTTGCTGAATATTATACATTTATGTAATCTACAGAAGATGTTAAGTCATGTTGTGGTTATTCTTGTCATGCATGTTCATTAATGATGAAAAACCCCAAGAGCTTCACATCAATGGGTACAAACATACATGAATATATTAGTTACATCAAATTGATGGAAATTGATTCAAGAAGTATAGCTTTAAATTGTTTTCAAGACAGAGCAGGATTAGATTTAGATATCATAGAAATACAGGTATGGGGATGAAGGGAAAGGAGCATCAAAATAGATAGAAAGGGACAGAGAGAGAGAGAGAGAGGGGGGAGAGAAAGATATACAAAGATTTTTAAAAAAAGATAAAAAGAGAGAAATGGAGGCAAAGAGATGTGAAAAGGGAAGTCAGGGTTTGAGAGACAGAAGGAAAACAAGACAAATAGAAGAAAAAAGAGACAGATAGAGTGAGAGAGAGAGAGAGAGAGAGAGAGAGAGAGAGAGAGGGAGAGGAGGAGAGGTACAGTCTTGTAGGAATGGAACGAAAATACAAAGAGAAATATAGACTGAGAGAAAGAGGAGGGTAGGAGAAAAATACGGTTCAAGAAAGAAACGACCAGACCAAATAAACCATGAAACAAAGCAGAGGAAAGCTGCACTATATCTGATACATGATCTCATACAGAGCACTTCTACAAACGCAATGATGTCATAGCTATTTATAGAACACTAAGATGTTCCATCGGTTGCAAACTACATGTACATCCTTCATCTTGTCAAAGAACGGTGTGCATATGCATTTAACTTCAAGATGTATTGGATGACTCAACGTAGGTTTCCTAGAACAACTTGTACATGTACACACAAATTGAAATATATAGCTACTGAATATGCACATTATAGAGAACCTATATTAGACATCAAGGCTCTCTTGTTATGAAACTTGAGTTCCTAATGATAACAAAGAGATTCTACTAGAAATAAATTGAAAAATGCATCTAAAAGTTGCTACTTGTCGTTTCCCATAGTCACAAGATCAAACTTGTCGTGTATATGTATCATGTGATATACTTCAAGTACCAGAATTGCATTTCCAATCAGATACATTGTAATTTTGTTGTCTGTTTGATTGCAGTTTTAACAACTTCATAATGTTTCTTTCAGGTATAGTTATGAAGCGGTAATATAATGACTACATGTATGTGAATGTCTTAATTTCCTTAAAATCTGATGTACATTTAACAGTGATAATGTCAATAAGAGGTTTGGGAAGGTATCTAAAACACAAGGGCTAGACATAACAAAACAAAAAATGATAAATCACCTTTTACATCAGGAGATCTTCCCAGCTAAGAACATTTAACAGATAAAAATTAGAAAGGTCTACACTCTACCGGTATATCTTCGAACAGATGTGGCAGGAGAAATGGCGATTTGCCCAAACCTGTACGTACATGTACATTTCATAGCCTGGTAGACGAATGAATGTATCGGATGGCAAGCAAGCTGCATGTATAGCTTTGAAGCTGTAACACCTGCATGCTAAGATTGTCCAATCGATACCGGAGCCCCAAGTCGCTTAGGGGTAGAGCAGAACTAACAAGCTGAACTGCATCTCCCCCAGCATACCGTACATGAAGGTGTATTTCAATTTCCTCATAGTGGCTGGGCTCTTTTGACCTTTTATTCCTGTGGCTTTTCTTCATTTTTTGTCCAATGAGAGTTAGAAGGATGTTAGCTCTATGTGAAATTATATGAATTAATGCCCTTCTGGCTCCCGGCGCTAAATCAATCAATCAATTTTGTCATGGAAATTTACAGAGAAACTCTTTTTGGTAGAAATGCACAGGTATGCAAGATTCATTATGATTCCAGTCATGCACTATGCACTATACATGCAGGTTGATACATGTACTTGTACGCCTTCTAGTAGTTTTCCATATATACAACTTTGCCATTTTACAAAAAAGCACATGAAAAATGAAGCAATACAAGAAAAAGCAATTGACTGGTTGATTAAATGGAGTATCGGCCATCTTTGATTTTCCAGAATAAATGTATTCTTTGTTTTGCTTTGCTTTGCGCGTGATCTTCTTCACTACAGCAAACCTAACTTTTTATATCACAGATTTATCTTATGAAACACCCCTAATATTTAGATGTTGCAGATCTTGTCACAGAAGTGCCTGCAATTCTCAATTTTACCCTAGACTCCATAATAATGGGCTTAAAAAGAACACCACTTCCAACATTCTCTTCAATTTTAGATGCAGCCATGCATTTACATGTTGAGAACTTGAGTGAACCTGCTAGGGTTTGTATGCATGCATCTAACTGTCTGCAGATAATATGCACATCTGATTTCATCAATAAAGTCATAAATCTATCTATCTATCTACATGTATCAGGCTATTACGTTGAACAAAGCCCTCCTCATAATATTTCCATTTTCTTCTGTCTCTAGCTGTCCTAGTCCAAGCGGCCATTCCCATGTATGATGTTAGGTCATCTCTCCATCTTCTCTTCTGCCTTCCTCTTCTTCTCTTTCCCATCCTTGGTTGCCATTCTGTTAACTGATTTGTCCATCTATTTTCCTGAAGTCTTGCTACATGCCCAGCCTATCTCCACTTTCATTCTTTGACTTTCTCCATGATGTCTTTTACCATAAATTTAGCCATAAATGACTACAGTCAAATCTGTGTATTGAGGCCACCCAAGGGAAACAGAAAAAGTGGCCATATAGCAGACTGGTGGCCTTTCTAAACAGGTTCTACAACACACATTTCTTTCTCAAGGGACACACACTATAAGACCACTATAGACAGGTGGACTTTACAGAGAGATGGCCACTAAGGCAGGTTTGAATGTATGTGCATGTACAAGAATGCCATGGGTGTGTCTCGACTGTAAACAGCATCCTTGAAAAGTGTTTTTCATCTCTTAATCCATGCTAACCCTGGTACCCATACATCCCACACAGGCCCAATAATGACACAAGTAATAATGGCACACACGGCTGTATGTAGATTCAGAAACAAACGAGAAAGATTAGGAGTAATTGCCATTTGAAGGGCATCATTAGCCCCTGGAAGAAGCCTGACATTATCGCAAATTGATTGATGGCTGGAAATGGCAGGTATAATACAGCTTCTTAAGGCCTCGTTCATACACAACCCCATAAACCACCTTAAAGCCCCTCTGCACTAGTTTGGCCAGGAGGGACTAGGTCACTATCAGGTAGTTATCTTATCAAATCAGCTCTCAATTAACATAAGAAAAAGAAGAATATGGAGGACCAACGGGCACCGCTTAGGCATCGTTTTCTATATAGAGGGAGCAAGTAGCTACAAGTAGTGCAGTGGGGCTTTAAGACCTTGTTCATAAATGACCCCATAAACTGCTTCCCCCTCCCATATGTTGCAGTAAAACTTAGTAAATATGGAAGCAAAGTGCACTTCACAATTCTTTATGAAGTACAGGTAACCAGTAACTGTATATATGTGGGCCCTTGTTGCATGTATTATTATTATTATTATTATTATTTATTACTTATACCGTGCTTTTCCCATAAGGCCCAAAGCGCTTACAGTGAATGAAAATAAAAATTACATAAATACATATAATTAGAAAAAAACAGTCTTACAACTACAAATTGCAAAAAAGATATGTTTTTAAGACCTTTCTAAAGGTAAGAACTGATGGAGACTGCCTGATTCTAAGTGGTAAATCATTCCAACATTTTGAAGCAGATACAGTAAATGTTCTATCACCGGCTAATGTGCGGGTAACTGAATATGTGAGACGGAGAGGATCACTGGCTGACCTGTAGCTACGGTTTTTTGTCAATACCACTTGCCATTCACTGCTGGTTTTCATTTTGCCGCTGAAATTGTTCAAGGTTGTTTACCACATCCTACATGAACCAGGCTTCATGCAGACATCAGACATCTCTCTGCTTATCATTGCACATATAAGGGTGGAGAGGGGAGGAGGGGGTGTTGAGAATTATTTTCTTCAGGAAGCCATATAACATCAATATCCATGGCCATCAAATGTCAAGAGAACGGCTACATATTCCTACAATTGAATTTCTGTAACCTATATTCAAAATAAATTCCAACTTTTCAGTCTAAATAGACTCTTCTATTTCTTCCTTTCTCTTTTATTACGATTGATCACACAGACTTCCTAGAAGTTTGTTTACACTGCACAGTGTTGTACATGATTTCAATATCGTTAATCCTTACACATCCTCTTTTCCTTTATTCCTTCTCTGGAAATACAATAGTGAATAGGTTTAAAGAGGTTAGTGTAAATGTTGTGATGCTGAAGAGATCTGTTTTATACACTGCTGTCTACGATCTTAAAGACATATTACAAAACATACAAAGCAAATATTCTCTCACAACTAACTTACTAATGTTTTTGTTTCTTCAAAACAAAATACATTACATATCATTGTGTAGTGTTGATAAAAAACTTTCCAACCAAACATCTACTTTGCAAAACATAATTAACTCGGTGCCCGGTAAGGCTGCGATGAGTAGTTGAATACTTGAGTACTCGCACTGTTGACAACTACTAGAGTACGACTTCTCGTACTCGAATAGTCGGCCGTCTTTTTTTTTTTATGCCCGTGCCTGGCACTGTCCAGGCCGACGCTTACCTGTGCCAGGGAGAGCGGCATGGTACCGTGGTTAAAAATGTTTACCAGCTCAATCACCTCACCACTCAGAAACTGGGAACAAATGTCCGGATTTCTGTTGGACTCGGAGGAAAATGGATTATCTGTCATCTTTGGTTTTAAAAACTGCATTGTTTACTATCATTATGATTATTAAATCTGTAACTCGAAGTAAACTCGCTTGAGTTTTTGGAGACGGACCTGGGATACTTCTCCCGTAGTATGGTGGTGGCAAAAAACATATTTTAAAAAAAAAAATTAAAAAAAATAAAAAATAATTAAAAAAAGATGGCGTCCGAGTACTCGCCTGTAAGCCTGGGAGTGTACTCGAGTACCTCACTACACGGTTACGCCCGGTACACCAGCCAGTAAAGCTCAGATTAAAAATTAAATATTAAAACATTTAAATGCCACCAGTCTGAACAGTGCTTAACTTGCAACTGGATGAACCCTCATGGATGTGTAACTCTACATTGTATCAGCTCTCAGTGTCATTTATCTAAGGTTGTCATGGTAACAGGAGAAGCTTGATTAACAAAGCATGACACTCAATGAAGCAGCCATCTAAAGCCATGAACCATAACAGCACATAGCCTATATTATATCCAGGGTAACTGGGTCAATGTCCTATTTGTCACAAGAAACAGGAAAATGAACAGGAATAACATTATTCTTGAGCATTTTGTGCAGCTATTTGCACATTTAGGAAATACATATATGGGAACCACATGTAGGATTTCCTGGAGCAACTTGCATCTAGTCCCCATATAAATTGTAGGCCTCGAAACTGATTTACAAAGTGAAGGTATGATGAACAGTTACTTTGCTATACCAGATCCGAATGTGAGAACTCTGACTCAGCTAGAACACTCTACAAAAGAAACATGATATATCGTCGCTGTTTTCACGAAGTGACGGTAGTGAACAAAAATTGCATTCACTTTGCGTTACGATTTTCCTCACTACCGTCACTTCGTGAAAACAAGGACGATATGTATGGCTGACCTGTCTTGTATCCTTGAGTCCCTACTGTTTTAGACTGTGCTTTGAGTCAAAATGGCACCTACATTGCAAGATCCTTCCAACAAACCCAAACACCAAGCCTTGACTGTTAACAGCTGTACAGTTTTCCATTATGAAAGCACAAAAATCATTTTCGACCAACACATTCTGTTCTTTTGTGTCCATCATTTGATCTCAAATGTTCTGCCAGGCTTTTGTACACTGAAGAGTCTTCTCATTTGCTGCCACTAGGTCTTCCAGGCAGCATTGGTCATCTAGGAGTGGGTATCTTAATAAGTGTGAAGTAAACACCAGAACAGACATACATGTATGGTACATGAAAGGGTAAACTTACCTGTCTGATATCCTTTTGTCCCTGCTACTGTTGACAGGGCTGTACTGCTTGGAGTCCGGAGAGCACTGCTGTTGGCCGCTGCGCTCTGCATGGCCAGGAGAAGTTGATCCGTGGCGCTCTGTGGCTTGGCTCCTATGCTTCCTGCAAGCTAGACAGAAAAGAGAGTTCTTCGTTACAATAAAGTCTCCACTTCTTTTGTACATTAATTCATGTGGTTGCCCATTTCTGTCAAGATCAGTCCTAAGGGATTGTTCTCTGAAAGCCAATCAAATGTGATATCATCAAGTTCTTGCTAGGGTACTTGCAAACCTTCAAAACATCTGAGATGTTCAAATTGAAAATCTCCACTGATGGGTTTATTTTATCTGTGCATTATGACACTTAAATTGAAAAATCTTTCTCAATCAATTCAATTAAACTTGGCAGCCTGAACATCTAAAATCAATGGATCAGGGCATTTTAGCAGTTTAGTTGTACTTCTTTCAATTCTGTCAAATATTTTCATATCTATCGTCATCGTTAGCCAGGGGCCCAGGGCTCAATATAATATGTAATACCTTTCTGCAGAGATAAATATCTACAATATGTAGCACTTCAAAGTCCAGTTTCAATGTAAAATAAAATTTATGCAGACTACATATCACATAAAATTCCTCAAGTAGAAACTTTTTTGTCCAACGTACAATGCCCCCAAAACTTCCATACCAATACTGCCTGAACAAATTGCATTTCCATTTATTCGATATTGACATTATTGCCTGTGTTTTTAAGCAATAAATTGGTTTACCCTGGCAACTTGAGGCATGATGTTTGTACAGCGTAGGGGTGACATACAGGGTAAATATAAATCTATATTTTAAAGAGAAGGTTGAGTTCTGGGCCCTGTCTAAAAAGAGCTGCGATTGATTAAAAAATTATCCCAATATGGAGTGTTTTCTTCTTTGTTGTTGATGTAGTCTAGATCCACAAAGTCATATCTACTGTACATGTACATGTACATGTCTCTGTAAAAGCAATACCACTTAACCACAATATATCAAATACAAAATAATAAATACATGAATTAATAATCATCTGATGTGGATAAACACAAGAGACATTCAGAATCCACAAAGTTGCAATCTGTAATTGATTTTCCAAGGTTGTTTGAAGGTCACCGATGAGGCCCTTTCTGAGAAATATCATTCGATTTGGATTGATTTTTTCCATCTCTCTCATGAAAAAAGAAACCTACAGTGTATAATGTTAGAAGTTTTTATTTTGTGACGCTACTTTGATGCACAAAAAAGCTTTGATTTGGAAGAAATTTTAATAACTACTTTGAGGACATGAGATAAACAAAGAAATATTTCATTATTATGGTAATTTTGTGAATTCATGATCATGGTCATCCCCATCATCACCATCATCATCACTTCCTGCATGTAGTTCTTCTTAAGTATCATTGTTGATCCAGTCATATGAAGATAATTCTCTACTTATATCTGGCATTTTTTTCTGGCGCGGTTGGGAGAGGGAAGGTTGATTATACTGCAAACTATTTTTCCATGGACATCTTTCATAAGTATTTAGGTAAATATAAAAAAATAAATAAAATTGCAAATATGAATATTGCGGGGGTGCGTCTTTTACACAGGTACAAAAAAAAAAAAGGCTGAGTAATCTGTGTGTTGACTCACCACTTGGAAACTACAACAACACTCAAATTTGTCTGTCATCTTGGTTTGAAAGTAATCTTTCTAATAGATCTCAATATGTAGTTTATAATAATAAAAATTAATAATTCCTCAAATTTTTCTTCTATTACATGGCGTACCACAAAGTTCTATCCTAGGTCCTCTACTGTTTTTAATTTACATTAATGATTTTACACATTCTTCTAAAATCGACATTGTTACTAGTATTTGTGACAAGTTCACAAGCACAAATCGCCACCTTCAACTGCACCTTGATGTTAGATGAAAGTCCTTTCCCGCGTGGGTTTTCGGCAACAAAACAACAACAACAACAACAAAAGTTTTTTTTTTTGCCCCCAAAATAGGGGTGCGCCTTATACACAGAGATTTACGGGAGTATATTCACATCTACATCTGATCTAAAGAAAGATATGTTGTAATTATAATCTAAATGTATGTCAGTTTGACCTCCACACAGAAATAGCCCCTGGTTTATTGAGAGCAAACATGGTTTAGATGTTCATGTTTAAGAAGAATCCATTACCAGTAACAAACTGGGAGATCTACAACCTACAAGCACTGCTTTTTAGTGGACCCCCCCCCCCCCCCATTTCCTCAGAAATTAAGAAATTCTTGTAATAATTTTATTATGTGCAAAGTTTATTTGTATAGTTTCTTGAAAAAATGAATTATGTATGAAATCAAATGTAATATCTTTGTTTACCTTTCTGTTGAAAATGAAATAAATATGAATATGAATATGAATATGTTCTTGTGATCTGCGTTTATGTATTAAGACAATGGACATCTGGTACATGCATCCATACAAGATCAGAACTTCAAAGATCTGAATGAAATAGCTTGGCCTTCTCAAATTGGTAACAGATATATGTATCTATTTTTTTCTCTCTCTTGATAAACACTTTCACGCAAAATAAAATGTACAAGTATTGATAATGTATGAATAAATGAATGCAACAGAATTAATTGCCAAATTGCTTAGCACCAAAATGTGTTGCTTACTTTCAGATTTTCATGTCATTTTCCACGTACTACAACAGCATTTAGTTATTTTTGTTAATGATTATTACTCTGTCTTCTCATGTTTTATGTGCAATGCAGCATTCTAGGTAAACAAAAGTAGAATGTACAGCATATTCTAGTATAAATGAAAATAATGCATACATTTCTAAATTAGACATGACTATGTGTTGCTAATTACATAATCCAATGCTTCTTCATATAAAGAGTTTACCTATTCATACATAATATTTTGGCAGAAACAGTTAAGATTTGTTATTGATTTTTGGTCCTTCTCACATATTTCTTATATCCTTCTCTTCTCATGTATTAAGTATTCACAACTCAGCGTTCTAGAATACATGTAGACAGAGACGCCAAGTTCAAAGATCAGCTATGCATCACATTTTCATGACTCGGCGTGTGAGTGCGCGGCGAGGGTATAACGTACGTATATAGCATATAGTGTTTTTTCGAAACTGCGTGTGCATGTCGTGTATGAGAGAGTTTTCAGACCCTCAAAATGCGTGACACTTGGTAGCTCTGTGTAGATTATTTAAGTCACCAAGAGGTGACACTTAAAGCTATGGTCACAAATTAGAGCAGCGACCGACCGATCAGTAGCCTGCTCGGTCGCTGCTGGAATTAGGCATCGCCCAGCGATTAGTTCAGTGCCCGGGCGGCGACCGCCCAGGCACCGAGCGTATTTTGGGCGGCGAGTGAAAAGTGGGCAGGCGCCGCCCAAATTTTAACTCCGCGCTAAAACTTCAGCGGCGACCGAGCGATGCCCTAACAACGAGCGGTGACTGGCCGGTCGCCGCTCGGTGGCCGGGCAGCCGCCGGGCAGAATTGGTTAAAAACTCGCCGCTCGGCCACCGAGCAGGCTACTTTTGGGTAATGTGACCATAGCATAACACTGATGAGTTAAAGATGAAGTTGAGTTCTGGTCATCATATTGCATTGTGAAAGAAACAGTGTTGAATCGATCAGAAAAATTTGATTGTGTAGCATGTAAGTACTGGTGTGTACTGCAAGGTTCTGAAGTCATCAAAATGATAAAAAATCTAGCCAAGTCTGGGTAAAGTAACAAGCACTGTACATAGAAAGATGTATATGGGACTACACAAACATGTGGCATAAAAATCGGCCTCATTTTTTAAGCTGCCACTTGTCATGTTTACAATATGAAGACATTTGAAGAGCCATGCTTTTCAGGAAACGTTTTTTCTCTGATGTTCTTCCACACTTGCATAATAACACTGATAACGCTCAGAAATTATTGTTCACCTCCCCCCAGAACTCAACCTTCTCTTTAACACTGATGAATTAAACATGGCATGTTATGATGCATGTAAAGGGCACTGAACTCGCCTGATATAAACATTACACTCAAGCATGTATGCATGAACTGATGAACTTTTAACAGGTGTGAAGTCATCAGAGAGATGATACATGCATCATCAGATGATTGCAAACATAGACTAGAATGCTGCCATACTCTAGAGTAAACAAGTAAGTAGTGAGGTGTTTCTCATGAGCTTGATTTATGTTTTCTTGTTACTTTGTATGATCTCTATTTTTGTTGTTCTTCTTAGTTTGTTTTCACATTTTTCTTTTTATTATGTTTTATTGTTTGTGTTGCTGTAGCTGTTATTGATGTTGAGGTTGTAAAATGTAGTTGCTACTGTTTTTTATTGTTGTTATTTATGATATTTTGTGATGTTGTTGTTGTTACAGCTTCACACTGTTTCTGTGTCTATTATTTATATGCTCCTGGGGTTTGGAGTTATTACTATGTTTTTAGGTAAGGGGGGGGGGGTGGATTCAATCACTTCATCTAAGCTTTACTGTTGGTAGCCTGGTGTTTACTCTGAACAATTCTACATGGAAGTTTGACCTCCATGATGTTTTAATTGTTTTGCTTTAAATACTTGATATCAGCATGGATTGTAGGTATAAAATATGTATTTGTATCTCACCTAAATAGTTCATTCCAACTGCATGAAAACCAAATACTTTTGCAATATTATAAACTGATATGCTTTTCAGTATTCAAAAAATGTCAAGTACATTTGAAATATGTACCATGACAACACAAATATAGTAGATTACACGTATTGAAAATAGACAGTATTATGCATTTCTCAAATTTTCAATGTTGCTATTCTTTTTTTCCTATGACTATTGCATTAAGTATTATCAAGGTAAAAAACAATTCAGAACATCATGAAAACAATGATGAAATATTATGATTGGTGTCAGGAAATACTCAAAAAGCTGACCATTGTAAATTAATCTTCCTATTCTAGTGAACATGTAAACACAGGAAGAAACTTTCATCAAATGTATCGATGCAATATCTTTTTTCCCCTCCAAAACAAATGCAATTTACTTAAGGACAGGAGGGCCCCCCAACGCCATATTTTACATTTCTCCAGACAGGACTTTATTCCGCTCAGAGGGGAAATATTGGAAAGGCCTTGCGGAGATACGAGAGAGAAAGAAAGAGAGAGAGAGAGGCCCAAGGAGAGTGGAAAATAGACGTGATCGGAAGAGAAAATGAGTGAAGGTGACAGCGATGGACTTGTTCTGTGAAACCTGAGTACATGCATATGAACTATTCCTCGTAATTGTTATCATATCTATTTACATACGGTTCAAGGGTTCATTTAGTTTGTCGCCTCTCTCATTTCATATCTAACATTCTATTGTTGTTTACTTGATTTGTATGCATACCCTGTACTCAATCTAATCATAAGGATGTTCATCCTGTTTTTATGAGTGAAACAAATTGAAATTGAAATTGGACATTTGACTTTGCTGGGACGAGACTCAAACAAGATTGTTTGACATGTAAATAGGAAATGAATCTATTAAAGGAACTGATATAAGCTCGAAGTGGAATTTGCTCCAGGCTTTATTTCATCACATTATTAAGGTTAAGTTTGCAAATGGGTTTTAAAAGGTTAGGCTTAGGGTTAGTGTTAGGCTTTTCATGGTACTTGATCCAAGGTTTAAGGTATGAATTGGGTTAGCGTAATAGAAATTGTTGCTAGAGCATGTGTTGACCAGCCTTTCTAAAGAATCATGATGAAAAATCTTTGTTACTTTTGTTTCTTTTTCTAAAGAGAAAGGAAAATATTTAACACTATCTCAGAAATAGCTTACTAATTTGGGATTTTCCTTGCAGGGACTGCGGTTATGAGCAACTTTCAACAACTATCTCATAATACCTGATGTGGCTACTGTTTCAAAAAGCATTATATCTAAAAATACATCCAAGCAAATAATGGATGTATTCAAAAGTTTTATTCAAATGAAATACTACTGATTATTGAGAGATACATACCATTCACTATCTTTACATGATTACTTGGAAATTTCAGAAATACATTAAGTAATATGTGCATTGATAAGTAAATAACATTAAATTATTGAATATCAATACTTAAGTGACAAATCAAAGAATCAAATCAATAATGTACATCATCAAACTATATTTTGTTTAATCCTGTATGCACAATCGAAATTAAAGTCCACCCTGATAGTTATCTGGTATTACAAAAAGCAGAAAAATAAGAGAGACAAATAAGTGAAAGTTTGAGCAATATCCAAATAAAAATAGGAAAGTTAAGAATTTTAAAAGTTGTCATCTGTAAACAAAATAAATTAGTCTTCTAATAAATACAAAAGTAGGATATGCAGTCAGAAAAATTATTTCATTTAAGAAATTACTACTCTTTAGAATTTTGTTTTATATTGGAGCTTCTAAGCAAGTAAAACACTATATTGCAAATGTTTGATATTATTTCAATCTTAACAATTGTTTTGAAATGATTTCCTAGATATATTTTTGAGCCTAAAAGCTCAGAAATAAATAAATAAATCAACAAAAAAAATCAACAGCTGACATATCTTTATATATATTATACAGGAGAAAAAGAAAGATCCTCAGAGGGTGCTCACAAAGACAAAACTGTCATTTCATTGATAATTCTATACTTATGATGAATTTTTCTGTTTAAAAAGGGATCTGAAATAAATTCCTCAAAGCAAATTTTGTAACAGAAAACTAATGAAGAAGTCAAAATAAGACATTTTTTTTTAAATTTCAATATCCATTACCTACACTATATTTACACAATTAAAACAAATTCCTCAAAGCAGTTATGTGACAGAAATTCAATGAAAGTAAACAATTTCTACTCAGATGAAAATTTGACAGAAATTCTTGGATGTAAAGATCGAAAGCCATGATATATGAAGACAAAGTTTAAGGGATATAGATCCCACAGCTTAGTACGACCAGCTGATGTGTCAATCACCTGTGCTCTGAGCCTTCTTATGACACTAGCAGGAAGGAAGCGTATGAAATGAAATGAAATGTAATGCACATTGCTAAGTAGCCAATTATAAGTATGTAGATAAGCCAACCTACTTACCACAGTTCGACTAGTTAGAAACCATCTCTACCTCCCGTTCCGGGCAACAAGCAAACGTCGCAAATGGGATGTGCAAACAGTGATCAAATGAAGAGAGCATAGCAGAATGGCATCCAATAAATCCTGTCTTGTTCCTGTCAAGCACTTCTTTTAGTAAAAAGTCTTTGCAGTGTTAGCGTAAAACCATGGTGCCTCGATCTATATTCTTGCCTTCCCACGGACATTCAAACTGACCTCCTTTTATCCCACCAGACATGAATACATTAAAAGAAGACATAAAATATTCTCAAAAGCTTTCAAAAAGCGGAAACTACAAACACAGATGGACAAGATCTTCTGACCTGGAGGAAAACAACGTACCAATGTATACTGATGGCCAGTTTGCTTAGCAATTCAAATGGCGTTATAATTTGATAGAAATTTTCCAGCAAACTGAGCAAATTGAATTCAGACTTTGTCTTTGCCTATATGAAATGCCCCCCTCTCTCTCTTCTCGGGGCCTCTTTGCATCGCGTTATACTGCATTTGCATGGTTTGCCCCGGATTTGATTTACAGCGCTGCTTTGGTGCTCCCTCAGTGTATAGCAGAGTGTGTGTATAGTGTGTGTGAGTGAGGGTGAGCATGTAGCGCGAGTGTGTGTATGTGGGAGACTGTCCCGCCGAAGCAGCATCGTAGCATGCACTCAGGAAGCAGGATGCCTCTGTGTGTGTGTGTCCTAGAGTGTGTGTGTAGAATGTGCATGTGTGTGTTGGGATGTACTTGACATTAGCCCTCACCTGTACCGCTGTGATAAGCTGAGTCGACACTGCGGAGGGAGTGGTGCCGATTCTTGCAATACCCGGCTCGCTTTTGACCTTTATCTGTGCAAAGCTAGGATTGGTGGCCGTTACATCCATAATTAATGAGCAGTCATTGCTTCAGGAGCCGGCAGCGAACTAGGATAAGCAAGACGGACATGGGAAGGGGGTCAAAAAGAGGGAGAAGGAAAGAAAACATTAACATCACAAGTAAACTCTCAAGAAGAAAAAAATGTTGAGTAAAGGTGATTCCCAGGTCTTTAATCTTTTCCTCAAAATCATGATTAAGAAAGAAATATATGCAAGTATAACAGAGAGAGAGAGAAAGAGAGAGAAAGAGAAAGAGAGAGAGAGAGAAAGAAAGACAGAGAGGAAGTAAGAGATATGGAAGAAAAGAAGCAGAGAGACTAGGAAAAAAGAGAGATGGAGACAGAGACAGAGACAGAGACAGAGAGAGATGTAAATAGAGAGATAGAGAGAAATAGAAAGATAGAGAGACAGAAAGGGATAGAAAGAGAGATGTATAAAGCGATAGAGAGATAATTGATTTAGAATACACCGACCACATGTAATATGGGAATACAGGTAGCAATACACAGCAATGGAGAGTGAGAAAAAGAGAGAGAGAGAGAAAAAAAAGATAGAGAAAGAAGGATAAAAGCTATACTGAGAGACAGATGTAGAAATAGCTGGATAGATAGAGACAAAGACAGAGAGAGACAGAGAGACAGAGAGAGGGAGACTGAGAGAGAGAGGGAGACTGAGAGAGAGACAGAGAGACAGAGAAAGAGAGAGGCAGAGAAAGAAAGAGAGAGAGACAGACAGACAGACAGACAGACAGAGAGAGAGAGAGAGTACCACCTCCTACAAATATTAGAAAGAAAAACCATCCATCCAATCTGCAGTAGATATGAATACACCATGTGTACTTTTGTCATTTTCATTTCTCAAAATGAAAGAATCTGATGAAAAGCAGTTATAAATTTCAGAATCATGCACTTCCGTCTCTGCTTCATCTGCCCCTTCCTCTATCAATCAGTTTGGGATTACATGCATATGAATACATGTAAATGTAAACTTGTGATTGAATTGGGTAACAGATATTTACATGTAATTTGAACACAAAAATATTCAATATTTTCAATTATTTCAAATATGATCAAGGAATCTGTTTATCCATGTGAATTGCAACAACTCTATGTTCACAAATCCACTTCATAATAATGCTTTTCTCTCTAGTACGTGAATTATTTTATCAACTTCTCATCTAAAACTTAAATGAATTGATGACAAGTTTGAATTCGAATCCCATAAGACAACAAGTCTTTTCCCTAATTTTGATCAACATACATCATGTATATCTGTTTGAAAAAGACAAACTAAAAGTTGCTTCGACAATATTAATATTAAAATGTATTCAAGAACAATGATTAGCGCTGAGTGAGTGTGTGTGAGTTGTTTTTGTGACTGCACTCAGACATTATTCACCAAATTACCTACCAATTGTATTATTTGAAAGAAGCATTCAACTCTCATTTTCCGAAATCCTATTAATGGATATTCCAGGAAAGTATTATCTGCTAGCTGTTGAAACTAATAATCTTTTGTTTGTATTCTATCTATAGAAAAACTGACAACTTTATTGTTATTTGCTATTCATTGAAAAACTGATAACTTTATTAACAATAATTACCAAACTTGTTAAAAACTAATTGACCAAATTTGGATTGCTTTGTCAAAAAATGATGGATGTTATAAAAGCACTTATTGAAAAAGAAGAACATGCAGTGTCTGGTACATGCACTTAATATACATGTAACAATTGTATCTAAAACACCAAATGTATGCATCTCGTGTGCTCAGTTTGCATAGGGTTGGACAAAGATCAATACAAGCACATCGCACAACGCTAGAAGACTGAGAGCCTTCTACTATTACCAACCAGGTCCTATCTGCAGTATGCAAACTCTGCAATTAAAATCTCAGATTACGGGACTGCACTGACGTATTGTTCCTCTCTGGTACATCAAAGAGATGGGAGAGGAGCAGGGGAAAAAGTTACATGGGATCTGTTTCTACTTTCTACTTTCGTTGTACCAATATCTCTTCCAAAAGGGCAAAGGACCTCTTCTTCCTCTGCAATTTGGACACAAACACATACGGCTGATGCAGGATATCCACTATCACCCCTCCCCCCCCCCCCCCCCCCCGAAGAAGAAAAACAAGGAGAAAAGGAGTTTCATACCCAAAGGAGGACAGATATATGAAAGTTTTTTTGTAACTACTTTGAAAAAATTCTATGCAAGGGGAATGTTTATGAATCTTAAAGGATTACAAAATCTCTCCATGTATATTCAATTGCAAATAACTGCATGGTTCCAAACTAAGTGAAACCAAATGTTTAGAGTGCTAACACTAACAGGAAAACTGGACTTACTCTCCTTTTAAGAGACTGTATACACTACAAAGCACAACTACATCATAAACATAATTTCTTATAGGGTTCTCTTTTCAAACAAAATAGAGGGGGTTTGACCATAGCCCTTCATTAATTGTACTGGTTGTGAAATAAAATTGTGGCTAATAACTTGATAAACAGACTTTTTTTAAACTACCAAGGGGATATTAGAATCATGAATATGGATATTTGAACACAATAGTGGTATATTCTATCACCTTCCACAAGTACAAAAATCACTGAAGTACATTGTTCAGACTCAAACGCCAAGCGCGACATGTTCTTCTCTGCATTGTACTAAGCTGGCAGTAAACAAAATTGATCTTTTATGACACATTCGCGGTAAACGTGCATGGCGAAGAGAAAGGGGTATTCTGTCCTTTCACAGTGGAAGTGCTCACGAAGGGAGATATATTTATTTTGGTGCCTTTCCATTACTTAAGGTAAAAGGCCACATCTATCAATTGCTGGCCCTCAAGGGCAGTGTGTAAATTTCCTGCGCAATTTACAAAGCAAACAATGGCTCTGGTGGATGTGCATTTCACCCCAGAATAGAAAGGGTTCCGTGTAGGTTTTCTCATTCGACTTTGTCACCCAAATTGTCATCTAAAAAAAAATCTCAATTTTAAAAAATTCAAATTGCGCTCATGTGCAGCCATTGTACAATTTCATTCATTGTATTTTTGATTGAAATTATTTTTCTGAACTGTTGGTTCAACAATTACACTGCATTTATGAGCAGCAGTTGTTTATGTATCTCTTTTAGTTTATCAAATTATTTGCTCTATTCGGTGCAAGAATTAAATTGAGTTCATCTGCAGAAGTTGTATACATGTAAGTTGCTTTATTCCATTTTACATCTAAATGAATATATTGAACAGCTTGTCTACCGTAGAGTTGTTTCATTTGCATTTTTAATGAATATGCTTAGCTGTTTGTTAAAAGAATTTACAATCATAAGCAGCAAGTGTACAGCTCGTTTCATTTGAAGGTACTTTTTAATTTTCATTTTTTACAATAAGTATTCTGATCTGTCATACAGTGAAATAATCAAAATTGTACAAATGCATATTTCTAGATTTCCTTATGCAATAAATATTCTGTTCCGTCAACTGCAAGGAAAAGAAAAGTATGAAATTGCACTCAAGTGTGGTACTCTACAATTTGTTTCATTAGGAAGATTTTTTTTGCTTGTTTGTTTAGTTTTCTTTTCAAAATTAACAGTGTAAAGCATACATTGCCAAGCTAAATGACAGAAAGCTTGATTCAAATAAAATGTGGGCAATTACATTGTTCACACATTCAGGTGTTTTGTTACGTTGCGAATTTTCACTGCCATGCCTGTTCGTAATGACTATTCTGAAATGTAAATTGCAATATGGCCAAAAAAGTAGTTGAAAATATGATTAATTACATGTGCCCAGCTGCAAAAGTTTGATTATATTTCTTATTTTCTTTTATTTGACTGTTTTCCTGTGCAATGCAATATGGCCATACATTACTTTCAAATAAAGTATGCTGGATTCCAAGATCGTTGGCTAGATTTACAATGCATAATGTACAGAACTTATGTATGATTTGCATCAATAAAACATATAATAATTGTATAACTTGAAGCATGGCTATTACAATCAGTAGGTGATTTGAAGGATACAAGTTAATTTCTTTCTCTGCTATAGACATGTATATTCCCTATTGATACATTTCATGAAAATAAAACAGGATAAGCTAATACAAGATCACAAATTACATTGCTGAAAAACAGCCTGCCGCTAAAAGCAAACTCTTGCTCTATAATGCTGTTTAGGAATGTAATGCGATACAATAAAGGGCTTCTAGATTTGATAAATAAAAGTTTATTCCCAAATCTCAATTTCCAGATTTATTTCCATAGTGATTATATAACGGCTGTACATTTATGGACAATTATCGAACAACGTCTTTGGCCAGGGCTCTACACTCACTAACAGTTCTTACTCTTCCACTGCAGTGCAGTAAATTAATAAAAGTCATATAAAGTTTGATTCATGATATGCAATTTAGCACAAAATATTTGAAATCTCACCTTAAAAAAATTGTCCTCTTTTATTCTTTCTCTCCCTCTCCATCTCTTTATGTACAGTACATATACAGTACATGTACCTTGCATTGCTAAAGCCTCGCTCATCCTCCCTCCCCCCCCCCCCCCCCCCCCTCTCTCTCTCTTGCCCTCTCTCTCTTTCTCTCTCTCAATTAATTTTCTGTGATCAAACTTCATCAATCAAATCAAGCCAGACAGAACTAGGATAGACAGAAATTAGAAAAAAAATAACATCTTTGGAAAACACAAATCTGTTGGAAATGCAACTTATCTGATATATTCTCAGTATGCATCCCTGTATACACACAAAAGAAATAATAATTAAAAAGCAGCAATAAAATTGAGGGGGGGGGCGTTAGTGATCTATGACATTTGTAGGTCTTTGAATAAAGATTGATGAACTAAAATATTGACAAAGA